GAAGAAGAGTCATGTACAAATAGAGTAAACACATGCAGATCATGAGACAAAGGATTGGGTATTCGGGTAGTATGGTCATAGTGTTGTTAGGAGATGGGTCGTGGTTCCAAAAGATTGTGAACAGCGAAGAAGAAGAAGAAGGAGAAGGAAGGAAAAAGGAAAAAGGAAAAAGGGGAAAGGCAATGGAAAAAAAGTAAAGGCGAAAGGCGGCTTATAAAGGTGCGCCTGTGGGTCAGGTTTAATCGATTTTTTCCTGACCTCCCTCCTTTTTATGTTGGCAACTGGTTTTCTCGAAGTGATGGTATGGATCTATTAAAAGAATGGTCTCCACATTTTTGACAAATTTCTCCAAAAATAGTTTCAACCGCTAACCATTAACAGTAAAGATATTACCGTTCGATGGATTTTTCACTTCCACTGCTCTGTGGTCAAACACCTTTTTGACGATATACGACCCTGTCCATCTTGATCTCAACTTACTAGGGAATAGGTGGAGTCTTAAATTAAACAACAAGACTTTTGGAGAAGGATCAAAAGACTTCCACACAATATTTTTGTCATAAAAAATTGTCATCCTGGATTTCACAATTTTAGCATTTTTATATGCTTCATTTCTCAATTCCTCCAATTCTTTAATCTCAAATTTTCTTGAAAGTCCAGCCTTATCTATGTCAAAGTTCATTTCTTTAATGGCCTAGTATGCCCTATGCTCCAATTCAAAGTTCATATGTCTTATATTTTTGCTTTATGGGCGTACGAACGCCAGATGGGGTTTGATCATCTCACTCAAGTGTTTTGTGGTCCTCTGAGGAAACCCACTTCCATACTTCATACAGGACTTGGCATTTTGCACTCATTACCCAAGTGTTCTAGTGGATGTTCGAACATAAGTTGGCGTTCGAACGTGGTACTCAAGTGCACTTGCTTCTATGTTGCAACACGCCATGTCTTCATAGTCTGGTCTTGTCATTGTTCCAGTGGACGTTTGAACGTGGGTTGACGTTCGAACATTCTTGCTTTGTTCCAAGCTTCTCCAATTTTGTTCCCTAATGTGTTGGTGTTACATTCAAATGTGATTTTTGTTGTTCTTGAACCCTTTTTCCACCTTAGAACCTAAAATATCATCATTTAAACTCCATCAAAGTATAATTAGTCCAAAAAAGGCATAATAATATGCTACATTTAAGTATCAATCACTTTCCCTTCTAAGTAGTGTGATTGAGTGTCAAGGAAAGGGCACAGAGATGTTGTCCATTAGGCACTGGATATAGTTGGGTACAGGTGATGAGGGTTGGGTCATTCATGCAAATGGTAGTCTTTGGTTCAGGGGAAAGGTTGTGGTTCCCCAGTCTGCAGATCTGAGAGAGTAGATCTATAGGGAGTTCCATTGCTCCCGTTTTGTTGTACATCCTAGTGGAACGAAGATGTACCATTATCTTTGTTGACAGTAGTATTGGAGTGGGATGAAGAAGAATGTCATAGATTTCATTGGTCCACGTCTCGCGTGCAGCAGGTCAAGGCTGAGCACCAGAGACTACCAGGGTTGCTCCAGCCTTTGGAGGTGGCTAAGTGGAAGTGGGAGCACGTCACGATTGATTTTATGACCCACTTTCCATGGACTTCGCATGGGCACGATGTTGTATGGGTGATTGTGCACCAACTTTGAAGTCGGCGCACTTTTTTGACAATGTAGATGACCTTCAAACTGGAGGAATTCTGCCAATTATATGTACATGAGATAGTATGGTTACTTAGGGTGCTCGTATCTATGATATCGGATCGAGATCCCATGTTCACGGTAAATGTTTGGGAGAGTTTTCGGTAGGCCATGGTGATTAGCACAAAATATTGCACATTATGTATGCTTTTATACCCTTTTATACTAGTTTTTGTGGAGGAAATGGGAGAAAATGCAATTAAACAAGCAATTAATGATGTTGTTGTGTGATTGTAGGTAAAGAGTTCATTATGACTTGAGTTAAGCCCCCATCGTATTGCGTAAAGTCAATGGAGATGAGGTGGTGGCTTAGAGGGAGACTAACCACTCTTTTCTTGTCACAAAAATTGTGGGTTTTTGTTGATTTTACTTGTTATTTTATATTTACCGATTTTCCTAATTAATCTATAGCTATTTACATTTATTTACAAATATTTATAAATAAATATTTATAAACATTTACAAGTATGTACAATTCTTCCAAAGAATTATGATCATACTAATTCAGGGTCAGAACTATCTGGATCAATATTACCAGCAACACGGTTAACTTTATTTCTTTCGTATGTTGTTTACATTGGGGTAGAATATGATGGCTTCTCAAGATAATCTTTGCTCTACCTATACCTAATCCACTGGAGACAATCTAACGCTTGACCTAAAATTAGTTCCGCACACTGATTATATTGTCTTAAATGTTGGAAACGACCACATTTACACAACCATCGAGACGATCGGAGCGTCGATTTTTCGCATATGTACTTTTTCTGCATAAAGGTCTTGATTGACTTTCAAAATTTTCTAAATTTCTAACTCTTCTAGTTTTTTTCATGATCAATGCATGAATATCGTTTGGAAGATGACACAGTGGAATTAAACTTAACCAANTCTGCATAAAGGTCTTGATTGACTTTCAAAATTTTCTAAATTTCTAACTCTTCTAGCTTTTTTCATGATCAATGCATGAATATCGTTTGGAAGATGACACAGTGGAATTAAACTTAACAAAAATAGTTTTTCATCCATTGTACACACATAATATAGTACCAAAACAGTTTTTTTTTTTGACGACTCTCTATCCGATTCTTTAACGTCTTCCAATCACAAAGACAAAATTAACAGTGATATTAAAACAAAATAAATACTTTAAATATAAATACTAAAATCACATCCTTACCTCTCCAACTTAATTTAAACGTTATCTGAAATGTAACAACAGTGATAGTTAATATTGATAAGGAAACCTGACAATCTTTTGTCATTTCACCGATTGAGCTATCTGGCTATACTCAGAAAATATTGTGTCAAATAAATTACACTTCATTAGTAACTTTATAGAGACTTAAGCAAAATCTTACTTTTCAAAGCATATAAACAGGATCAAAAAGTTGTACAACAGTTATTTCTTGAGTAAATCCATCATAATATGGTTTAAGTCCTTGATCATTGACTTTAAAGATATTTTCAGTTAATGGATTTTCAATTTCAATTGCTTCATAATCAAAAACTTGTGTGACAACATAAGGACCTGTCCATCTTGATCTTAATTTTTCAGGAAATAAACAAAGTTTTGCATTATATAATAACACTTTTTGAGATGGTTCAAAAGATTTTCGCATTATCTTTTTATCATGAAAATTTTTTGTTCTTGATTTAGCAATTTTTGCATTTTCATAAGCTTCATTTTCATAAGACTTTGGAGGCCTAAGCATTTATGAGGAAGAGAGAGAAGAAGAAAGCTAGGGGAGTTGTAGGCTAGGCTTGTCCTAGCCTATCCAAGCCATCACCTCAACCTCCCATTGATGGGAAGCCTCTCACACAGGCTATAGGACCTTCATGGATGAAAATGAAGGGGAATCTTGACATTTTTACTTTATTATTCAACATTATAGAGAGATAACCTAAAGGAGGACGACATAGTTTTAGATAGAAAAGTTTGTAATTTTTGCATTTCTTCTACCCATTTCACTTGTTGTAAGCTAGAATACTCTTGTAATCTTCATTCAATGCACTTTAATCTCATTTATTGCAAGTTTATTTCAAGTTTAGTTGCACATTCTAGATTCTACCATGTTTCTATTTAAGTTTTCATCTCAAACTTTTCAAATGGGTATTAAATGCACTTCTTTGTAGTTTAACTTTTTTTGCAGTAATACAAGTTTCAATCTTCATTTCTTCACAATTTATCTTCATATTATGTATGTCTTTGAATGAAATATAAGTAGCTAAAGTTTAACTTGGCTAATCCAAGGAAGAATTCCTATTGGGTATGCTAAATCATCTTTTTTTCATTCTTCCTTGCAGTGTAAGGTGGTTTGGTTTGACTAGGTTGAGTGCGGACGTGGTTGTGAGCTCTTGATACACCGTAGACTTGTCAAGTGATATGCTTGAGCCTACACCACATTAGTTCCTCACTTCCTACGAATCAATCGAATACCTAGGCACCATTGGAAGAATGTTGTCAGTTGAATTGACATTCCCATTGGAATGACCTCTTTGGATTTGCTAACTCTCTTTCCATTGCATTTTCTATCACAAACTTCACTAACTAAAACACAAACTCACAAGTTTTTTACACTTTTCCATTTTTATAAAATCAACTTCACACGATTCAACCTTTCTTCCTTGAGGAGACGACCTTGAAATACCCATTCCAAGTAAAGCACGACACTCAAAAGTCTCTTGTCGCTTGGAGAACACTTTTGCACACACACACATTTTGTTCATCCACACACGTTTTTCCCATTTCTTGCATGATATCCGAGTGAGAGTGACACTCACCTACATATATAAGCCATATACACATTACTAGAATCATGTTTAGAGTCTGTTACCATTCATTCCTTATCAATCTCTCTTTAATGCNTTTTTCCCATTTCTTGCATGATATCCGAGTGAGAGTGACACTCACCTACATATATAAGCCATATACATATTACTAGAATCATGTTTAGAGTCTGTTACCATTCATTCCTTATCAATCTCTCTTTAATGCTCCCAATTTTTGAACTTCAAACCCCTGACTTTTTGCATCTTTGCCTACACAATATATAACCTCAACACCCATTTGATTTTGTATATAACGCATCTCATCTCTCTGAAATGGTGATCATTTGCATTTGAAATTTGAATAGTAGATAGATTCTTAGATATGGCTATGATAGGGATGATGGACAGTGTGTATTTTGTTGGAAGGAATGAGATTCTTTCTTAGATCAGTGACAGGTTTTAACTCAATCTATCTCGCATTGAGGAGGCTGCATCTGGTGTTGTGTAATGTCAGATGATGGACATGACCCATCTAGGAATTGTTCCAATGCAGAAGGTGAATTTTGATGTAAAGACCGAATATGATATTATCCAAAATTATAATGTTTTGTAGGAAGTATTTAACAAACTCAAAATTAACTAGCATATTGAAGTCAACAAACTTGTAACGGGTCGACCTTTAGACAACTTAGAGTTTTTGCAATTGCTGAAACGTTATTATGATTCTGTAAATGGTGGAATTGTGAATGAGAATTATAATCCTGTGGACCGTAGAAGGAAGGGCAATAAGGAACAAAATCGTAAGGATTCTTTTAAGACCTTGAAGTCACTACAAGCAAACAAATGTTATAACCCTGGCTTAGGTGATGCAGTATGCATTAATAAAATTTATGGGACCAAACAAGGCAAAGCAGACACTGTAGGTGTAGGGGCTGATTCATCAGAGGAAATTCAAGCTTTGTCCATTGAGATTACAGATATCAAGCTTTCTATGGAACTTTTGGAAAAAGAAAGAGATCTCTATTTTGGGAAATTACGAGATGTTGAAATACTTTGCCAGACTCCTGAATTGGAGCATTTGTCATTAGCTGTGGCAATTAAGAAGATATTATATGCCACAGATAAAAAGGATTCGACACTTGCAGAAGCTCAAGAAATCATAAATCAGTTGATGAATGTTGATCAAACAGATGTGGGTACTGAGTCTAACTGAAATGGTGCATGTACATGCCGATGAGGAGAAGANAAAACTTGCACGGACAATAAATCATGGCATCTTCCGCTTGATCTGTGTATGCAAACTTGGGNCTAACTGAAATGGTGCATGTACATGCCGATGAGGAGAAGAGACATCTTGGGTGATATTTCATCAACTAAAGCTTTCAGGTATCGTTTAGGTAAAACAGTATGGAGACACTTCATTTTGAGCACAGTTCAAGGAGGTTGATATTCTTCCTTAACCNGAGACATCTTGGGTGATATTTCATCAACTAAAGCTTTCAGGTATCGTTTAGGTAAAGCAGTATGGAGACACTTCATTTTGAGCACAGTTCAAGGAGGTTGATATTCTTCCTTAACCTCCCTCACCTGCACACTAAAAGGGATCTGGGCCATTTCCTCCTTTTCCCCAACTCTATTTTTTGATGATGTAGAAGCATATTTGAACTTCTTTTCACGGATTTAGATGTTGTATTATACCTTTCTGATTTCATGTTGCATTGTACTTTACTGTTAAAAAAAAATTGGAATCATGTATGGAGATTAGGGTTGACAGGATAATTCAAGCATTTTTGGCGCCGTTGTCGGGGAGGGAAAATCGTTGAATTTAGAAGGTAATTTTTGGACAACGGAGGTAAGACTCCTGATTGTCATGATGGGCAAAGGTACGTTGCTCATTGCACATATTTTTGTTTACTTGTTTTTTCATTTGTAGATATTGTTTTGTATGTGGGAATGGGACGACCAAAATAGATTGGTTAGACAACCCTTAAGCCCCAATATGAATCTTGACCAAGACCCACCTGAGGATGCTAGTAATAATTTTGAGGAAGTTGGTGCTAATGTCCCAAGGGGCGGAGGAGTACAAGATCCTAGAATGCATTTTCCTCTTACGAATGAAGGGAACAATATCTCCATTGATCCTCTTGCGAGGTCAATACGGGATTATCTCCAACCCACTCGTAGCACCACTCCCTCATGTATTCTCTTATCGGTCCAAGCTCATGCCTTCCTCGTTAAGCCGGGAATGTTACAAATATTTCCTCAATTTCATGGAATTAAAAGAGAGAATCCTTATTTGGATATTGAGGAATTCGAGAAAATAGTTGCAACCTTCCTCACTAATAATGCTACGGAAGACAAAGCCTAAACAAAATTGTGCACCTTTTCCCTTAATGAAAAGACAAAATCGTAGTTGAATTCCTTGAAGCCTTGATCAATAAGCTCTTGGGCACAAATGCTTCCAGAGTTTTTGGACAAATTTTTTTTGATGCCTAAAACCACCGATCTTAAAAAGAAAATCCAAAACTTTTTTGGAAAATCCCCATGAACAATTTTATCAATGTTGGGATCGCTACAAGGAATTGCTACAATCCATTCCACACCATGGCAATAGGTGAGTTTCTTCTAAGAAGGGATTACACCAGGCCATCGATAGTTTATAGACATGATGTACAATGGGGAATTTTTAAACAAGGATCCCGATGAGGCCCTAGAATACTTTAGTATATTAGCACAAAATGCACAATCATGGGAGGGATGTACGATTTAAGGGACCGGGAAGATTTGCTTTTCAAAATTACTAAATTGTCTCGGAAGTTGGAGAGTTTAGAAGTCAATAGGAGACATGAGGTAGCCAACATTTCCAACATCGATGAGTCTTGCTCTATTTGTGAGAGTATGGAGTGCCCCAACATTCCAACACTTAAAGAAGTGTACAATGAGCAAGTCAATGCTTTCAATCAAAGTAAGCAATCATTCTTACCACACTCTAACACTTATAATCCAGGTTAGAGCAATCACCCGAACTTTAGTTGGAATAATGAGAATCTCACTCCTCACGGGTCCAGTTCATATTCACCTCCATGACTTGTAAGCAAAATCAATACCATGGCCAAGGTTAATCGTCTAGCTCTAAATACCCCTAGTCCAATCCTCAAGGGTATTCACAAACCCCCGCCTCCATAAAGTTTTTCCCAAAGTCAACCTCCACAAAGTTTTGGTCAATAAGGACCACCCAACCATCCACTTACCAACCTCCCCATAAAAGGAACGTAGAGGATGTGGTGCACCAATTCATACAAAGCCAAACCACCATACAACCAAACCGCCACCGCTTTCAATTGTTTTTGGACAAAAATCACAAAATTGACCAATGCCATAGGATCGACCTAACAAGAGAAAGGGAAATTCTCCACTCAACACCAAGAGAACCCTAGAGGCTAACATGTGATTGCATCATCCGAATCCACAAAAGAAAGTTGTGAGCAACTCAAGGCGGCTATGACCCTAAGGAGTGGCAAGCAAATCGATAAGACCATTGTGCTAAAAGTCTCACCCAAGACCACATTGACCATAGAAAATGAGACTAACAGTGACTTTGAGGGGGTGAGGTGAGTGAGAAAGAAAAAATTGTGGATGAAAATATGCATGCATGTCCCATTCCGGCCCTTTTTCCCGATCGTTTCAAGCCACCCACGAAGCTGGCTAGTTATTCTGACATTATTGAGATGTTGAAGCAGGTAAAGATCAACATCCCACTCCTTGATACCATAAAAAAAATCCCCTCATGTGCCAAGATCTTGAAAGATTTGTGTACCATGAAGAGGAAGACAAATGTTCACAAGAAGGCATTCATCCCCGAGCAAGTGAGCTCAATCTTGAGGATAAACATACCCCAAAGTTCAAAGACCCTAGATGCCCTACCATTGCCATCACAATAAGAAATTATTGGGTGGAACAAGCACTTCTTGACTTGGGGACGAGTGTCAACCTCCTACCCTATTTGGTGTATCAACAACTCCAAGTTGAAGAGTTGAATCCAACTCCAATCACACTTATTGGTGGATTATAGCATTAGAACACCAAGGGGAGTAGTTAAGGATGTTTCAGTTCAATTTGATAAATTATATTTATTGTACTTGATACTCACTTGGTTGTTAATCCTAGCTCACAAATTCTTGTCATACTTGGTAGACCTTTTCTTGCTACGTCTAATATTGTGGTTAATTACAGGAATGATCTAATGAAACTTGCATTCGAGAATATGACAATGGACCTCAACGTTTCAATTTGTGCAAACAACGGGGGGATGACAAGGAAGTGCATGAAATCAATAGGATTGATACCTTGGTGGAGGATCATTTGGAGCTACTGAGCACGTTGAAGTTAGGGGAGGAAGAGATTGATGATCAAGAGGAGCCAAAAAGTTCACAAGGGGTAGAGGAATGGACCCCAAAATTTGAAAGACTTCCCTTGCAAGAGAAAAAGATCTTTCCATTGATTGTGCAAAATCCCATGTTGGAGTTGAAGCCTTTACCATCCAACCTCAAATATGCATTATTGGGGGAGCATGAGACCTTCCCGGTGGTAATAAGCTCAACTTTAGAGGCAAAGCAAGAAGGGGATCATTTGAAAGTGTTGAAGAGGCATATGGGAGCAATTGGTTGGACAATTGCCAATATCAGGGGATAAGCCCCCTCATTTGCACACACCAAATCTACCTAGAAGATGACTCCAAGTCGTCTCAACAACCACAAAAAAGGATAAATTCGATCACAAAGGATATGGTGAGGGACGAGTTACTCAAACTACTTGATGTGGACATCATCTTTTCGATAGCCAACGGTAAATGAGTGAGTCTCAACCAAGTAGTGCCCAAGAAATCAGGAGTCATTGTGGTTGCAAATGAGGACAACGAGTTGATTTTGACAAGAGTAGTCACTAGATGGAGAGTGGCTATTGACTATCAAAGCTTAACTCTTGCATAAGAAATGACCATGTTCCTTTGCCATTCCTTAACCAAGTATCAGAAAGAGTAGCTAGACACTTGTTCTAATGCTTCTTAGATGGATACTCCAGCTATAATCAAATTGAGTTTGCATTGGAGGATCAAGAAAAGACCACCTTTACTTGCCCTTTTGGTACCTTTTCCTACCACAGCATGCCATTTGGGTTGTGTAATGCCCTAGGGACTTTTCAAAGATGCGTGATGGGAATTTTCAGTGATATGGTGGAGAAGATTGTGGAAGTTTTCATGGATGACTTTTCCGTATTTGGGGATTCATTTGAGGGTTGTTTGGAGAACTTAGGGAAAGTACTTGAGAGATGTGAGGAGAAACTTTTGGTTCTCAACTAGGAGAAGGCATATCATTTCGACAAAGGGGATCAAAGTGAAAAATCAAAGTTTGAAGCCATTTCCAAGCCCCCCATGCCAAAGGTCATCAAAGACATCAGTTCGTTTCTTGGCCATGCTGGTTTTTATCGTTGCTTTATAAAAGACTTTAGTGCATTGGCTCGACCCTTAAACAATTTTCTTTCCAAAGATGTCCCATTTGTGTGGTTGAATAATTGTGATGTATCTTTTAAAAAACTATGAAGCATACCCACTGCACCTCGAATTATGCGACCACCCAAGTAGAACTTATCATTTAAGCTTATGTGCGATGGTAATGATTACGCGGTAGGTGTTGTGCTCGGTCAAAGGGAAGACAACAGACCTTATGTAATATACTATGCTAGTAAAACTCTTAACGAGACCCAAATGAATTACACTACCACTGAAAAATAGTTGCTAGTCATAGTATTTGCATTGGATAAATTTTGGTCTTACATCATTGGTTCACCTATTGTAGTCTATACTGATCACTTTGATTTGAAGTATCTTTTGTCTAAGCAAAATGCAAAATTCAGACTCATAAGGTGGATACTCCTCCTACAAGAAATCAACTTGACAATCAAAGACAAAAAAGAAGTTGAGAACATGGTGGCGGACCATTTATCCCGACTTGTGGTTCAAGATGCCGAAGAGCATATTTCTATCCCTGACTCTTTTGTTGATGAACACTTATTGTCTATTCATTTTGTTTGTCCTTGGAATGCTGACATTTGCAATTATCTTGCTACAGAGCGCATACCACCGAACTAGAGTGAGAGGATAGATGGAAATTTATGGCGAATGTAATGTACTTTTACTTCGACAACCTGTACTTGTTC